GGACCCTGGGATGGGCGGCTCTGGGTGCTCGGACCCCGGGGATGAGGGCTCTGGGTGCTGGGAACCCGAGGATGGGCGGCTCTGGGGTTCAGGGAGAGGCAGGAGCAGGGGCAGGGCTGTTCCTGCTGTTCCTGCTGCCTCATGTCCCACCTCTCTCCCTGCAGAGGCTGTACTGGACTCTCCGTGTTCTCCTCAGCCTCTTCGTGGGACTGGTGATTGTCGGTGAGTGCAGGGCAGCCCCTCGGGTTTGGATGGCTCTGGGGGAAGGATTGAACCCTGGGGCTGGGAAATGGGAGCTGAGGGGCACAACCACTGCTGGTCGTGGCATCTGCCTTAGCCTTGCTCTGCAAAGCAGTCACACAGTTCCCAAAATGGCTTTCCCTTCCTTTCCTTTTCCCTTCCCTGGGCTGAGGGTGCCTGGAGGTGCCTGTGGTAATTTCTGGGAGTTTTGCTGGTGTAACTCAAGCAGCCCCAGCTCCACCAGGCTGCACAGCCCCGTGTTCCTCCAGCTGTGTGTACCTGACACAGGCAGGGTGAGAACAACCACAAAGGCATGGATGAAATGCAGAGAGCAGGTTTATTGTCATTTTCCTGCCCTCCAAGGGACCCCCAGAGCAGCACTGGGTAGAGACAAGGAGGGCACTGGCACCAAGGGTCACCAAACCTGCTGTTTGCACCTGGTTTGCAGGGATTTGTGCAGGTGTAGCTCACTGATGTGCTTTGATCTTCCCGTGTTCAACAGGTGCTCCTCTTCCCCAACACACAGGGCTAGACAGTGCTCACTGTGATCTCTGGGGTTTCCTACACACTGCTTGATGTGTTTGCAGTCCTCCTCACCAGTTTTCCATTATTCCCCCCACTCTGTGAGCCCTCTTGTGCTGCAGCCAGGCGTGTTTGTGGAGATTGTGAGGAGCCTGGCAGTGATGTGGAGGGAGCAGGTTGGAATAAAGCACAGGCAGGGCAGAGATTGCAGCAGTGGGGTAAACACCTCCCAAGGAGCAAAGTCAGACGAGATGAAGGTGAGGATTTAATTTAGTAAAAACCAGGAAATCTTCTGTAATAACTGATGGTGGAAACCAGGCAGTAGGATTTCCAGCTCTGGGCAACAGGATGGGTAAGAAAAGATATACTGAGGGGACAGAAGATGCCAGGTGGCAAGAGAAACCAGCCCTGACCCTAAATCAAAGCATCCTTCCTGCTGTGAAGGACAAGATGGACTCAGAGAGGGATAATGATGACCTAAAGATTCAGCTCTGACTTGATTAGGCAGCCAGGCTGGGACCAGCTGAGGGGCACGGGGACCATCCCAGGGTGTGGGAGATGCCACCACAGCCCAGCCCTGCAGAGGCACAGCCCCACTGTGGGACAGGGCTCTGCTGGGGCACAGGGAGGAACACACTGTTCCTGAGGCAGCGTCACAGTTTCCGTCTGGCAGCAGCAGGGCACACTCACCCCTGCAGCCAGAAACATTCCTGTGGAGCTCCCACTGCATCAGTGCCCTCACAAGTTGACTCAGCAACTGAACATTTTCTCAGGAGGGTTTTGTTCAGCCTAGCATCAAACCATCGGCTTTACCTTCATTGGAAAATGAAGCCCACTGCAAAGTGGAAGTGCTTCCAAAAAGATACCTTGTTCCCAAAGACAATACCAGAAAAAAATCCAATTTTTCTTTTTTTCCCAGCTGGAATGGCTGCCCAAGCTGTGATGGCACTTCCCACCCCTCTCCACCTCTCCTTTTGACAATGACCTTTACTATTCACTAATAATGCAATTCAGGGAGCTGGATGTGGGAAATGAGACTCACCCCTGTTCCTGTGGCTCATCTCTGAACCCTGGGTGCTGTGGTGCTTGCCATGGTGGGCAGCTGGCAGGGAAGCTCTGCAGAGGATGTCCAGGGAGGGATCAGATCAGGATGTCCATGCCTGGGGATCAGAGCCCTGCTGTTCCCGGATCCAGGGAGTGGATGCTTAGCAAGGGGAGGACCCGAGCTCTGCAGGGTGTGGGAGCTGGTTGGGGCACGTCCTGGTGGCTGAATCAGCATTCCTGCCCTCCCAACACTCCCTCCCAGTGCCATGGTGGGAATGCTGCCACTCACCTGTGATTCTCCCCTTGAGCACAGCAAAGCCTGGGCCTGCTTTAACCCCAGCTTCATTTTTCCTGGCAGTTGTGCAGTTCACAGGGGACTGGGAGCGTGGCTGGGTGCAGGCCAACACCTCCTACAAGTCCTTCAGCCCCGCGCAGGTGAGCGCTGACATCGGGCTGCACATCGGCCTGGCCGGGCTCAACGTCACGCTCAGGGGTGAGTCTGTGTCCCCCTGTGCCCCTGGGCAGCGGCCCCAGCAGCTGCACAGCTGCCCTGCAGGGCCCTGGCAGTGTCTGGGCCCTGCTGTGCCCGCGCTGCTGCTGCGCTGGCAGTGCCCAGGGCTGGCACAGCGGAGCTCAGCCCATGCCTCCCACAGGAAACCCGGTGCAGCAGATCAACGAGACCATCAACTACAACGAGCACTTTTCCTGGAGCTTTGGGGAGGATTATGAGCTCAGCTACAGCCAGGGGCTGCACAGGGGGCTGCCCAGCCCCATCCTGTACGTGGCAGAGAAGTTCAGCGGGCAGAGCCCCTGCGGGGTGCACGGGCAGTACCGCATCGCCGGGCACTACGCCTCAGCCATGCTCTGGTGAGCCCTCCTGCCCTGCCCTGTCCTGTCCTGCTGCCAGCACAGGGGTGTGGGGAGCCTGGCTGCCCTTCCCCATGGCCTTTGGGATGGGTGGGATTGCATCCTGTCAGGAGGGAAGCTGTGTGCATGGAGGGGGCCCTGCCGGGCGCTGTAGACACTTTGGGATGAGCAGAGGAGAAGTTCAGGTTCTCCCTGCTGGACAAACACACAGGGTGGGCGCAGGAGAGAGGAACGTGCTGCAGGTCCCTGCTGTGGTGTGGCAGGAGCCCCTCCCCATGGATGGAGTTGGAGCTGCTGTCCTTGGTGGCCCAGAGAGGCCCATGAAGGACTCTCCCAGCCCTACCTGTGAGTGAGTTTTGTACCTAAGATTGGATCCGGTGGGGAAAAGTTCCTGCTGCTGTTATTGTGGAGCTGATCTTGACTCTTTGGCAAGGTCAGAGATCTGTCAGTGCCCGTTTGGGCTGGGGGAGAGCTGTCCCCAGCTGGCAGGAGATGGGGACCCGCTTCCACCACGTGCTGGCCATCACGAACCATTGCAGGGCTGCTCTCCCTGCCTGGGGTTTGACAGCTTGTGACAGTGTTCATGGGGGTCTGGGGATGAGGGGAGAGATGAGGATCTGACTCCATGTTTCAGAAGGCTTGATTTATTTTATGATATATATTATATTAAAAACTATACTAAAAGAATAGAACAAAGGATTTCATCAGAAGGCTGGCTAAGAATAGAAAAAGAAGGAATGATAACAAAGGTTTGTGTCTGGAACAGAGAGTCTGAGCCAGCTGACTGTGATTGGCCATTAATTAGAAACAACCACGTGAGACCAATCACAGGTGCACCTGTTGCATTCCACAGCAGCAGATAATCAATGTTTACATTTTGTTCCTGAGGCCTGGTGGCTGAATCAGCATTCCTGCCCTCCCAACACTCAGGAGGAAAAATCAGCTTCTCAGGAGGAAAAATCTTAAAGAAAGGATTTTCCAGAAAAGAAGTCTGCAACAGACAGCAGGGACACAGGGACTAGGGAAGGAGCCTGGTTTACCATGGAACAAGAGCTCCTGGTCCATAGCTGAGGCTTTCCTCTGTAGTCCTGCTCCTCAGCAAGTGCAGAGCTACTGCTCATGGCCTTTGCCTGCTCCTGCACTCATCCCAGTCCTGGTGCTGCTCTCAGGGACCAGGCTGCCCCATGTGTGGCAGGGCAGGTAGCTGGGGTGGTCCAGATGCTCTGAGGGGCTGCCACAGCCTCCTTGAGCTGTGTGTGGGCTGAGCAATGTGAGGAGGAGATCTGTGTTTGTGCTTCTGGATGGAGCAATGTGAGCCTTGCACGTGCACTTGCTCAGCGTGGGGATTAGGGATCATTCCTGCCTGCTTCTCCTCCTCCTGCAGTGCTCCTGGAGCCCAGAGTGCTCCCAACACATGGAAATCCTCACACAGAGCACCCTAACCCACTCTCACCACTCATCCCTTGGTCTCCTCCTGCCTCCAGGGTCGCCTTTTGCACGTGGATCATCTCCAACATCCTGCTCTGCATGCCCGCCCTGGTTTATGGAGGATACATGCTCCTGGCCACAGGGGCCTTCATGATCTTCTCCCTGCTCTCCTTCTCCACCGTGAGGAACTCCCCGATGTGCCCCATCCAGATTGGGAGCAGCACCCTGCACGTGGCCTATGGGGGATCCTTCTGGCTCATGTTGGCAGTTGGTGAGAGCATTGGGGTGCCCCAGGAAACATCCCTGAGTCCCAGGGCTGCCCCCCAAAATGGGATGTGCATCTCCTCAGAGCCCCAGCCTGTGCCTTGGAATGCAGATCCTGGCAGAGGTGTGGGGAGGGGTGGGAAAAGGACAAGCACCATCCTCATCTCAAGGCTTTCACAGCTCCTGAGGTGTGCAAAGACTTTGGGATCACCCTCCTGGGTTTTCAGACCTGTGCCTGGGCTTTAAGGATGCTCAGAGCAGCTCATGCAATGGAAGGCCACCTTCCATAACCAAAGGCATTGTCCTCTGGCAGGGGACAATCCTACAAGGGGTGGGGACACTGCTGGGGTGACAGGACCCCATCAGAGTGCGTGTTTGTTCCAGGCCTGCTCTGTTTGGTGGCTGGGACCACCGTCGTGGCAATGCACCACCTCAACCTGGACCTGCTGAAAACTTTCTTTGATCTCCGTGAGGACAAAGCAGAGGAGCACCAGGAGCTGCCTGAGGTGTTCATCAACCCTCACTTTGTGAGCAAGAGCCAGTCTCCCTCTGAGCACACTGAAATCAACAGTGTCTAGCAGAAAATCCTCACTCTTCCCCTGAGGATGGACCCAAAAGGGCAGAACAAATCCTCCTTGATGTCCCCAGAGATGCATTTCCCCATCCAGCTGCCTTTGAACCCACTCTGGGATGGGTCCTTGCTGGCAAGCCCTTCCCAGGCTGTGTCTCCTGTGATCTGTGCCAGAGCAGCTCGCTGAGACTGGGGCTGCACACCCACCTGAGCACGCTGTCCCTGGAGGAATCCATGTCCTTCCTGCTCCATTCTCCAAGGGTCTGTTCCCACTGACACTGAGAAACACTCATGGCTCACATTTCTGCCTGGGAGCACCTGCCACTCCAAAAGCCTGGGGTTAAACCTGCTCATTTCTTCCCCAAACTTGACGTTTTTTGGTTTAGGTGTATCCAGGAAAGCCAGGTATGGATCCAGCTTCTGCAGGAGCTGGAATAAAAAGCCTGCTCCAGAAACAAACACTGAGTAAATGTACCATGGAGCCTGCTGAGGGGGATGTGCTGATTTGATCCTTTTCACCTTCAAATCTGGCCCTTATTAGATGAAATTGTAGCCTAGTGTGGGCCAAAAGGATGCCATAGGAGAGGAAGGAGAGTGGGGAATGAATCCCTGTCCAGCTGGAGCACACTCAGACTGGCTGGGATGGAGGGGAGGGAAGGATTCCATCCTTCTGCCCCACTCAGGTGAGACCCCACCTGCAGAGCTGCCCCAGCACAGGGAGGACACAGAGCTGCTGGGGAGCCCAGAGGAGACCACGGAGATGCTCTGAGGGTGGAGCCCCTCTGCTCTGGAGCCAGGCTGGGAGAGTTGGGGGTGCTCACCTGGACAGAAGAAGGCTCCAGGGAAACCTCAGAGCCCCCTGCAGGGCCTGAAGGGGCTCCAGGAGAGCTGGAGAGGGACTGGGGACAAGGAATGGAGGGAGAGGGTGAGGAGGAATAACTTCCCACTGCCAGGGAGCAGATGGGATATTGGGAAGGAATTCCTCCTTGTGAGAGTCATGAGGCCCTGGCACAGGGTGCCCAGAGATGCTGTGGCTGCCCCATCCCAGAAAATGTTCCAGGCCAGGCTTGGAGCAACCTGAGACACTGGAAGATATCCCTGCCCTTGCTGGGAACAAGATGAGCTTTAAGACCCCTTCCAACCCAAACTATTCTGGGATTCCATATCTGAATGCTGGAAACCTGGGCACCTACATTCCAATTAACTGTAAACTACATCATTTCAATATTTTGACTTTTCTTCCTGAGATCCTTGCTGGCAAGTTACTCATTTCTGTCGGATGATATTTGTGTGTCACTAATGTGGTTTGTTCTGCACAGGAATTATTTTCAATAAAACTTTACTAAAACCCCTCTCCTTTGAAGCACTCCATGTGGACATTTAGGGGGCTGGTTTGTTAAGAAGGGACCATGGGGCACATCTGGAGGTCAATCCTGCCAAGCCCCCAGCAGCAGCATTTCCTTCCCATGGGGACAAATGTCTCCTTGGCAGATTTCAGGGGCTAAGAAACCCACTGAGGAACCTTTGCCATGAGGAGCCCAGGAGGAACCCAGACTGGAGGTGCTGCTCAGCTCTCCCTAATGAGTTCCAGCTGCTCTCCAAGGCACTGTTGATCCTCTTTTCCCAACTCCTCCTCCCTCCTGGTCTGGTTCCTCCATCATCCTCCTCAATTGTGTTCTCTCTGCCACCCTGCTCCTCCTTTCACACTGAGAGCAGATATGGGGTACAGGGGGCACAGCTCCATCTCAGCCTCCTGCCTGCTGGTGGGGCAGCATCCAAGGGTAGATGGGATTTTCAAGGGTCTTCAGGGTTAGGGGCACTTGTGGGCTCTGCTTTTCCTTTGGTTCATCGCTGTGACTCTGCAGTTACTTGTTTTGTCCCCAGTTTGTTCTGATTTAATCTCTGTATGCTGGGGAGGACTCGGGGTTTGTTGGGATGGCAGTAAAACAGAAAAAAAGAAAAAACACAACCAAAAAATCACCCCAAACCAACAAAAACAGTTGTATTTGAAACACTTTTTCAGCTCTGGATATTCTCATCCCTTGGTCCTTGTCCTGTCCCTTCCCAGCTGTTGCTCCTGATGGATTTGGTGGGTTCAGGAGCAGTCCCTGCAGCCCGGCCCTGTCCCCTGTGCCTCAGAGCCGGGTGGCTGTCCCAGGGCACAGCTCCCCAAGGGGGACCATGAAGCCGCCCTGCGCAGAGCAGCTGGGCTGGGCTGGCAGCCAGGGCTGCTCCCACTGCTCCTCCTCGCTGCTCCTGTCCAGGCTGAAGATGAGCTTCAGCTTCTGGGGCTGCACAGCGTTGAGGATGATGATGGCCAGCCCCAGGAGCAGGCACAGCAGCCCTGCAAACACACAGAGAGACAGCTCTGCAGGGCCCAGCTGCACACCAGGGGCGTGTGGCACCACCCAGCAGGCAGGAAAAGGCTTTTTCTCCTTCCCCACCTCGATTCTGGCATCACTGTAGGCTCTCCAGCACAAAAGAGAGGTCAGCAGATGGGGGGCACCATGCACAGGGAAAGGCTGGAGAATTTGGGTTTGTTTAGCCTGAAGAACAGGAGCACCAGGGGATTTAGTTACCACCTGCTACTGGGAAAGAGCTGCTCTCCCTGGAGGTGATGTTGTGACATGGAAAATTCTGGTTTGAGCAAAGGAAGCAATTGCTGCAGGTCCTGAGAGGAGAGGGAATCTCTATCCAGCAGGCAACTTCAAACATTCAATTCTCTGCACTTCTTTCTCTTCCCAACCTTGATAATTCTAATCCAAAATCTTCTAACCAGAAATGATCATTTTCTGTGGCCAGCCATGGAGAAGGAAGGGAGGAGGTGCTGAGGGCCATCCCCTGTGCAGGGATGGAGGAGGAGAGCCCCAGAAGCAGGCTGAGCACTCACCTGTGGCCAACGCCAGCCAGAAGGACTCCCCATAGTCTGTCCTCATGGAAACTGGGCCAAACTGGATGGGGCACCTCAGGCTGTTCCTGGCAGTGGAGAAGAGCAGCAGGGAGGAGAGGATCAGCGTGCCAGTGAGCAGGAGCATCTGCCCACCGTAGAGCAGGATGGACATGGAGAAGAGCAGGATGGAAATGAGCCAAGTGCAAAAGGCCAGCCTGAAAAAGGACCACAAAACACAGCACAAAACACCAGGCTTGGAGAATCTGCTCAGGCTCTGCTCTCCATATCCCAAAGGAGGGATGAAGCCATGGACAACCTGGTCCAGCTGGCCTTGCTCCAGCAGATATCTGATATCTGATCTAGAGATCAACCCAAACAACTGAGTAAGGACACGAGTGGTGGAGCTGTGGGACACATCCTGCAGCAGTGGAGAGGGATCTCCACACCTGGGAATGTTCAGCATTGAATTTCCTGAAGCCCCCCAAGCACCTTGGTGCAGCTTTGGCATCAGCCCTGCTCTGGCTGTGGGCCTGGAGTAGAAATCTCTGGAGGTTCCTGTGAGAGACTGAAATATCTGAAATATTAGTGTTTAATAGCTCAAACGTTTGGCCATTTGCAGAGGCAGCAGGAGCTTTGTAGGGGGAAAAGGAGGGGTTTTGGGTGTGTGGTGGGAAGGAGGGATTTGGGGAAAGGAGAGTTTTGGGGTGTGTGCTGGCAAGCCCTCTGATGTGCATAAGAGGAGGAAGCTCTGGGATTTGAGGCAGATGAGGGAGAAGGCTGGTGAGAAGCAGTCCCTGGAGAGGCAGGGTGTGAAAAGTGCATATTATATGGGTCTATGCAAATATTTACCATATGTATTTTCATGTATTGATTAGTAGTGCTGTATTAACGTTTTAATAATAAATGCAGCGTTGTAATTAAAAGGCAACTTTTGTAGTTAAAATGAGAACTATGCTAGTGGGATTTTTAAAGAAAGGAATGAGGTACTTGCACTGAGATAGCAGCCACAGGACACCTGAATCTTTCAGAGAAAAAGAATTTGTTGCTCTCTTATCAAAAGAAACTAACTTCTTCCTGCCTCGAAGGTGCTTTCAGGATTAGAAGGAAGAAGTTGACGATGATCAGACAGAATCCTGTGTTTGAATGGAATTTATGCATCATGTATGAGGTGTATGAATATGCAACAGGATGTTGCTTTTAAGGGTTAATCCTTTGTTAACGTGGGTCCTTTTTCAGGCTTGTGCTGCCCAGAAAAGGTACCCGGAAGTCCGTAACTCTTTGTCTTTATTGTCTCATATTGTCCTAATCCAAATTGTCCAAATTATCATTACTCTAATTGCATTACTATTTTTATAACCATTTTATTACTATTAAACTTTTACAATTTTAAAAAAACAAGTGACTGGCGTTTTTCACACAGGGTGCTGTCTGTCACCGTGCCAATGCCCTCCCTCACACAACAGCTCAGCTGGAATGCTCCCCTCCCTTCCCAGGAAGGAGCATCCATGGGACACTGTCTGGTACCACGGGGGGGTCATATCTTCTTTTTTAATTTCTCTCTCTCTTCCCAGTTTCTCTTTTCTATTTCTTTCCATCTTTGTCTACGGCATATTTCCTGTAACATAACGTCTGTACTATGGACTTCAGCACGTGGCCTCATTTGCACCCTCATTTGGCCTCATTTGCACCCTCATTTGGGCAGAGGGTGTCCCTAACAATCAGATTGTAACAGTCCTGCCAAGTACCTTCTTTCCTGATTCTTGTGGTTGTCCACAGCTGGTCACCCCTGGGCAGTTCCCAGCGTTCAGAGGGACAATGGCATGGAGGGACAATGGCATGGAGGGACAATGGCATGCAGGGACACCTTTGTTTGGAGAGCTGCACCATTAGCCATGCTCACACCTGATCCAGCAGCACCTGGAGTGCATCCAGCTGCCAAACCCCTGTGCTTGGGGCTTGCATTCAGCTCCCTGGGAAGGTGAGCCTAACAAATATTTCTGATTCCAAGGAAAAAAAAACCCTAAAAAATAAGTTTTGTTGAACATTTCTGCCTGGAAATACAGGAATGTTTGGGTGGGGATAATTTTTTTTCCTGAACATGAGAAAAGAGATGGATACAGGGATGTGGAACCTGCATTCCTGGGGGAATTGCAAGGCTCTCTCTACCCTGCAGTGCCTTTCCCAAGACCTCTGAGACTCGTGGGGGTGCCCTGGGACCCCACAATCACAGCACACACCAAGCTCCATGAGCTCCCTCCTGATGGTCCCTCCCCAGGGAGGAGCATCCTGACCATGGGACAGGTCTGGGACCACTTGGACAGGCAAAGGAAGACACAGTGGGTCTAAATTTGGGTTCTATCTTGGTCCTTTGGAGGGGTCTGGAACCATGAGCCCCACAGCTGTGTCTGCTTTCCCCTCAATGAAATTTTCTGACTGCAGTTTTGGACATCAAGGCAGAGAACACATAAGAGGAGGACGTGGACAGAAGATGCCCCAAGGGCTGCAGCCCCTCTGCTCTGGAGCCAGGCTGGGAGAGCTGGGGGTGCTGAGAGAGGAGAGAAGGTTCTGGAGAGACCTCAGAGCCTGAAGGGGCTCCAGGAGAGCTGGAGAGGGACTGGGGACAGGGGATGGAGGGACAGGATGAGGATGAATAACTTCCCACTGCCAGAGGGCACGGTTAGATGGGATATTGGGAAGGAATTCCTCCCTGTGAGGGTGGTGAGGCCCAGAGAAGCTGTGGCTGCCTGTCCTGGCTTCACATGGGAGACATTTAAGGAAGTGATCCTTGGAAATGTTCCAGGCCAGGCTGGATGGGACTTGGAGCAACCTGGGATCATGGAAGGTGTCCCTGCCCATGGTGAGGAGTTAAAGCAACATCAGTTTTAAGATCCCACCCAACCGAAATCACTCCATGATCCCAAAATTCTGTGAATCTGTGACAAGCCAGGAAGCAGGAGAACCCCAGACCCTGCAGAGAGGCTGTGGCACCATTACAGTGACAAGGGTGGCTCCATAAACCTCTCTTTGGTGTCCCTGGTGCTCCCCAGGGCAGGGCAGGGC